CCGGCGGCTCATCTGTAAGCGCCGGGTTGGGAAGCGGTGAGGAAGAGGAGAACCACAGCAGGAGGAAGGCACCGTCCCTTAACTCCTCCAGTCACAGCCTGGAAGGGACACGACACAACACAGCGGAGTCAGCTTCACCCCAACGGCACCCGTGGGTTTTTGCAGGGCAGCTCGTTGCGAAAAAAAGCTTCCCCAAAGGGCTTTTGCCCCAGGGTTGCCCCCAACAAACCTCCCCACCAGCCCAGGTTGGGTTTTCCTGGGTCAGCTCTCAGGTTCAGTTTTGTCTAGAACTTGTTGGGTACCACGTGGCTCGCCCCATCCCAGCAGCAGGACCTCTGAGGGGGTTTTTGTGCCCTGTCCCCCTCATGGAGGGACAGCAGAGCCCCTGGCTATAAGCTGGGAAGTCAGGAGGTAACACGGGAACAGTGGCCGGAGCCAAGTCGCTAAAGAAGGTGGGAACTGAGCTGGAAAGTGAGCACCGAGCTGAAGCATCCTCGCTCCCCTCGTGCTTAAGCAGAAGGGGCTGGTAATTAAGGGGAAGCCAAAGGCGGCGGCAGGCAGAGCGTGGCTCGGTGATTGCAAAAAAAAAAATAAAAAAAAACCAAAAAAACCTTTCCCAAACCCAACCGAGCAATTACACAGCCTGCTGCTTTGGGGTTCATCAACCTTCAGATTTCCTTGCCCAGCTGCCGGAGCCACCCTGGTGCCTGCTCGGAGCGGTGATTGGTAATTAACTTCTCTCCTGATTAACGGCTTACGTTCCGGGTGATTTGGGGGCCACCTGACCGTTGGCTCTGCGCTGTTCCCTCGTCAGCCCCGAGCACCTGGGGACAGGAGGTGGCACGGGGGACACTGTCACCTTCGGGTCACCTCCGTTTCCCTCTCGGGTAAGGAAACGAGGAGGTTGGTTTTTGGATGCAGGAGGAGAAACCGGCACCTCCAGCCCTCGGTGGGGTCCGAGAGGGATGCTTGAAGTGGTGCCCACCCTTCATCCCCATTTCCAGCCTCCATTCTCCCGGGATGCACGCTGGGAGGTGGAAAAATCCCCCACCGTGCATTCAACCTCTGCATGGGTTGGGCTTTTGGTCCTGTTTGTCATCCTATGATGAATTCAAGGGAAGAAAATGAGTTTCTAAGTGGTTCTTCTGCATTTTGCCTGCTGTTATCAACAGGCCGGATCCTGAAGCCCTGGCTAGGGACTCATTTAGGCTGCGTTTGCTGAAGCAGAGAGATGTGACTAAGCCAAAGCAATGAAACAGAGCCATGAGCTGTCAGCAGGAGAAGAAGAGACTTTCCCCTTCTCCCGCAGCTGGAAGTTGTGACAGCTGACAGGTCTGAGGAGGGACCCCCAGCTCCAGGGGTCATCATTCCACCCCATCAATTAATTTGGGCAAAAGAAGAAAAAAAACTTCTTGCCAGGAGGGAAAACTGCTCTGAGCGTGATATGCAGGCAGGCAAAGGAGCCCTGGGCGATGTCCCTGAAGGAGATGTCCCCAACGTCCTTGCTCCAGCCTGCGCCCAGACCTCCCCTGCTTCTTCCTCCTGGTGTTGGTGGAGCACATCATCAGCTCCTCCTGATCACCTCCAGCTACTTTCATGGGCATTTTCAGCCCAGCAAGGAAAGCCAGCCCTGCGGTGACAGCTGGCATGGGCACAGCACCCTGTGACCACCCTTCCTACTCACCCTTGCCCCCGCGGGTGACACCAAAGGTACCCAGAGCTCATTCCCATCCTCCCCCAGTGCCAACGCTGACGTTCAGCTGTGACAGTGGGATTTTGAAGAGGGACAAGCAGGGGCAGGAACTTACTCTGCCGACTTCCAGAAGTGCCCGGGGTGGGAAAGGCGACGGTTGCGCTTTGGCAGTTTCTCCAGCATGTCCATGAGCTTGGTGAAGGTGGGTCTCTCCTCTTGCTCATAGGCCCAGCAGAAGAGGAGGATGTCCTGCAGCCACACGGAGGGGGAGCACATGAGCAAACAGTCGCCCTCCTACCACAATTCCAGCACCCAAAGCCCCCCCGTCTCCGTTACCGCAACCTTGAGAAGGGATGGAGGGGGAATGGATTCATCCATCCCATGAGGACGCCATCTCCACCAACACATCCTGGTGAAGGGCTCGGGTGGAGGGGATGTGCAAGCTGAGCTGATACTCGTGCCACAGCACCAGGACCAAGCCTTGCCAGCTGGGGAGGGAGAGACCCTTTGGATTTTTTCATCGGCACATCCTGGGCAGCCCAAAGTGGTTTTCAAAGGGAGCCTCCACCCAAGGCGTGCACCCATGGGATACATTCACCCTCCATGCAGACACACATGGGGCTCCAGCACATGCCTCACACCACCTACCGAGATCTCCTTGCCCATCCCGATCTGGCTGAGGTTGGGCTTCATCCCTCTCCCCACCTGCCAGATTATTGCCTCCGCCGGCTGCGTCTTGAAGGGCCATTCCCGCGCGTGCAGCTCGTACCAGATCGTGCTGTTGGGAGACAGCAAGGTTAGAGCTGGGAGATGCTGGGAGTCATCCCTGGGGCGAGCAGGGGACACCCACACCCACTATCCAACATCCCAAAGATATTTCATCCGAGATACACCACCAGAGGTGCTCAACGCTCCTTACGGAGATATCACCATTTCCAGATGGGGAAACTGAGGCTGTCAACTTGACCATGGGCAAGACCCAGTTTACACCAAGGGAAGAACCTGGCCAGTGGGCAGGAGGATGGAGGTCAATGGGAAGCATGGGCAGAGCCACCAGCCAACCTCTTACATCAAGCAGGAATCTCCCACCAGGCTGCGAAAGTGCTTTGTCCCACTGCCCATGGAGCAGCCTAAAAGATGATGCAGGGGGGTA